TTATTGAAACAAGAGCAATATATGAGATTTTAAATAACGGATTTTCAAAGAAACAGTAAAATATATTACAACAGTGTTTAATAACAATAAAAATAATTTTATTTGAAAAAAACTTGTACAAGAGCACTATAAAGGAAATTTATTAATGTTTATTGAAATATAAGAGACATTGCCATTTACTCCACAGCATGGTCTCTGGTGATTTACGCTGTCTCCACTTTCCCAAAACCTGGGGAAGGGAGGCAGGAGATTAAGGAAGGGGCTTGTCTCTTAGACCCTGCTTAGGGTCACCCTCACCTCTGGGAGTGAGAATAGATTACATTTATAATTTGTAAAATTATTATGCTTAAGACAGAATATTCTAACTGTCTGTTTAGAATCCACTGATATAAAGGGATCAATAATGCCTTGGCTAACTCAAGTATCTTAGTGAATTCCAGCTGCTATAACAAAGTGCCATAGACTGTATGGCTTATAAACAAATCCATGTCTCACAGTTTTGATGGCTGGGAAGTCCAAGATCAGGATTTCCGCATGGTCGGATTGTGGCTAGGGACCTCTTCCAGGTTGTAGATTGCCATCTTCTCCAACTGCTTATTGCAACTTCACAGTGTGAAAAAAAGGGTGAAAAAATCCTCTTGGGTCTTTTTTATAAGGGCACTAATCCCATTCATAGTGCTTCACCCTCATGACCTAAGGTTCCACCTCATAATACCATACTCCCATCTTCAAATTCATATTCCCAACATATGAATTTTGGGGGACACAAACATGTAGCCCATTGAACAAAGGTTTATAAAGATCCTCACACTTGGATTTAACAAATATTAACCATTTACCACATTCACAGCACTCTGCTTAAATGTCCCCTATGCCCAAGAAGCTCAAAGTCTAATGTGCGTAGTGGTGTGTGTGTGTGTGCATGTATATGCATCTGTGTGTGTACATGCACACACATGTATATGTAAGTACACAGAATGGGGATGGGAATTGGGGAAAATACACATCTTAATTAAAATACCAGGCAGGCTTGGCCAGTGTGGCTCAGTGGTTGAGCGTCGACCCATATACCAAGAGAGCTCACCAGTTTGATTCCAGTCAGGGCACAAGCCCAGGTTGTGGGCTCGATCCCCAGTGCGGGTGTGCAGGAGGCGGCCAATCGATTTCTCTCTCATCGATGTTTCTACCTCTCTCTCCTCTCCCTTCCCCTCTCTCTCTAACATCAATAAAGAAAAAAAATTTTAATAAATAAAATACCAGGCAGAATGACATGAATGCCAATTTTTCTATTTTTAAAAAGAATCAGTGTTTATATAAAATTAATGATCATTGCACTAAATACAGAAAAATTAAAATTAATTGTATTCTAATTGCCCAAAAAGCAATGTTTTTCTGTGCACCATAGGGCATTTCTAGACATGCAAATGTATGTTATAGGAGTCAGAGCAGAGACTTGGCTCCATTAGAGGGTGCATCAGGCAGTCCAGACACCTAGGCTCTGTGCTTCCTAGTGGAGCAGCTGCCTCACATCAGAGAATGTTCAGGGACACTAGAAGAGAAGTCCAGACATATCTTCTGATTTTCATGGAGCCCAGGGAGAAAATGCGAATCTACCTTCCAGACAGGCTTCCAATTTGAAAGATCTGTCACACGAATTCAGGCTCCCTGAAAGAGATTGGGCTGGAGGGAGATTACTGGAGGGATATGAAAGAAGTGTAGTATTTATTCTGGAAGGGCAGAAAGATTGAGTTTCAGCATCTGAAGGCTGGCGGGAACAGGTACCAGTACAGTATAAGACTAGGCTTAACCATCTCCTGACCCCTCCATAGCACTCCTTTCAAGAGCCTGCATGTTCGGGCTGAAAGAGAGCTGTGATGTAGAATAAAGCACTGTCTTTTTTACTGCTGTAGAGACCTACAATTCCCTCGGGGAACTGAGAGAGAGAGCAAGCTTTCCAGCCACTTGCAGAGGGATAAGAGGATTGTATTTAGTGGTCTGGAGTAGAAAAGGGCTGGGACAAAACCCTTCAGCAAACTGTGACAATGGGTCACCAAGTAAAGCAGTGGACACCTAAGCTGAAGGGATACAAAGTGTGGATTAAATAAGAATCTTCTCTCTTCCTCTAGGAACTCCACAAGGTTAGAATTGGAGAGGGTAATTAAGTTAAAAGATTGGATTTTCTGCTAATTACTTATGAAGCGTCTCAGACCACTGGGGTGTGTAAATTGCTTCACTGGTGAAGCACTTATCCTCAATGGTGGGTCAAGTCAGCATCATGTGTGCAAAACCACACTTACAATGAGTTTCTTTAGAAAAATAATGTCATGTCATGTGTGCCATTTACTGCTATGCTTTGTTCACATCAGGTGGGTGGTGGCTTGTGGGATGATCAGCTCTGTTACAAAGGGTGGAGAGCTTCGTTTTCTTAACATGTATGCTATAGTAAGTGGGAGTAAATCATGAACTATAGTATAAGGATAACACAGTTATATAAATAGCCTACATATTATAAAGAGTAAAATCAGTTCCATAAGTTAAATATACCCAGAATGCCATGTGAGTTCAAAACATGAGGACATTGCCCTGACAGGTTTGGCTCAACCTGTGGACTGAAGGGACTCGAGTTTGATTTCCAATCAAGGGCAAGTACTTGGGTTGCAATACCCAGCTCCCGGTAGGGTTGTACGGGAGGCAACCAATCGATGTGTCTCTCTCACATCAATGTTTCTCTCTCTCTCCCTCCTTCCTTCCACTCTACCTAAAAACCAATGGGAAAATATCCTCAGGTGAGTATTAACAACAAAAACATGAAGAAATTAAATGTGGGTAAGAAAATATGGCTAAGCTTTGAGCTGCAGTTGATATTTAAAGCTTGAAGTATAAGCAGAATTTGAACAATCTGAAACCGCAAAGGGATTCTGGATGGACAGAATGGCAATAAGAAAGACACAAGGAAGAAAGACAAAGGCCCCGTGCTAATGGTAACAGACTTTGCTTTCTGAGGGGTAGATATATCAAGATAGAGATGCCTGTCAGACAGTTAGGGACCCTTCTGGAAGTATAGAATTGGGAATCTTTAAAATATCTACAGTGAAGAGATGAGACCTGGATATAGAATTTTGAGGATCACCTCTAATTGAAGGAGAGAAAATATCCAATAACAGAAAGAAAAAACAAAAGTCTTGAGAGAATTGGAACAGTACAGCGTACCTACAGATAAGGGACCACAGCATTTAAGGAAGGCAATGAGCTGTGGAAGATGAGAACCAAGACAAGACAATTGACTGAGGTAGTAAGACACTGACTAATGACTCTTAGTAGAGCAGCCTCGAAATACAAAGGAGTTTCTGAGTAAACCAACTTACTGAAGGCAGCAGTCTTTAGGCTCCAGTACCAGTTCTGCACCCTCTTGTATCTCTCTCCAGAGCTTCTTCATCCAGAGTGGAAGGGGATTCCTTCTCAGGAAGGGTCACCCCAATGGTACAAGCCTCCTGATTTCAACTAAACTTACCCCTAAAAAGCTAAAAGAACAACTGATACTAGCTTTAAAGTCATTGTAAATAACCAGGTGTGGATCTTGGTGTCTTTTAGTTCTAAAATTCTAGCAGGGTCAGCTTTGACAGATTTAAGGGATAAGGGTAATGCTGTCTACTACAACAGCATAGAATTGTAGATATTTCATAATTTAAAAGATATATTTGAAATGGTACTGCATCTTTCATGAGTATTTATTAAACCATTTTATTTTTTCAAGCAGTTGAAGAATAGGTATTTGTTAATATTTACTTTTGCCTTAATATGTTTTTTTCTGTCTTTAAAATTAAAGATTCGGTACCATAGAAAGATCTATGCGGTTCTCAACCTGAGGGTCGCCTTCCACAGGGTCGCCTAAGACCACCGGAAAACACATATTTCCGATGGTCTTAGGAACTGAGACACTGCTCCTCTATCCATCTCCAGGCAGGTCCGCCCACATGCAGATACACCCACATACAACATGAGGAACTGTATTAAAGGGTCGCGGCATTAGGAAGGTTGAGAACCACTGAATTCTATAGGGTGCTCAAAACTGACATATACTTAAAACTGTACTCTTTTGTAGGAAAGTCTTTAAAAGAACAAAAAATAAAACAAAAACTTCCCAACCTGGACTCTAAAATTTGGGTTAGATTTTAAAATGTAGATGAATAATAAATGTAGCTCAAGAATATACAAAATAAAGTAGATGCAACTTGATTCATTATCTAATTAATAGATGTTTATTATCTAATTGTTATCTAATAAAAGCTTCATGTTAGTGTATACAAAATGGCAAGAGTTCAATTTAAATTTAAACAGATTCTTAGAAACAGAGATGCCATCTTTAAATGATACATAAAAATGAGAAGAAAGTTTTTCTTTAAAAAAAATTTCTACCTGAAGATTATGAAACGATTTACAGTAGCTCCTGTAAAGAGAAGGATATATTTAAATTTAATTTTCAAAAAATCCATATGGACATTTAAAATTAGAATTATAAAGCAAAAAAAAATAGTTTTATATAGTATCAGACATTTCTGCAATAAGCATCTGGGGAAATCTTAATTTTTGAGTGTCAAGCATCACTTTGGTTCCTTTGGAGATTACATCCTCAGCTTCTTCTCCCAATCTTGTCAATCAGCAAAGTCATTCTTCCTTCCCTGGGGAAAAATAGAACAGGCAGAAAAAAGTTACATAACTGCTTCTTCCATACTATTCTGGAAATTCCTTCCACTACAAGATATAAAACCATAGGGAAAAAAATGTATTCTCCTATCACCTATCTAGAGGGTGACCAGACATTCTGGTTTGCTGGGGAAAGTCAAAATCTACACTCATGTCCTAAGATTACTATTAGGAGGGCACCTCTTAATTCTCAAAACTGCTCCTATTTAGACAATAAGGTATATGGACACCCTACATACTTAGCAATTACTCTGTGTAGACTCAGGAAAAGTATAATACCAAAAATAGAAATTTCAAAGACTATACTTTCAGGGATCACTTCTCTGGTTTGTTTGTGGAGAATTTCTCTGAATGTGTAGCATGCCAGAAACCATGAAAATAAAGAGGCACAGAGTTCTCTCCTGAGTATGAAGCTGATGCTTGGTGTTGCTACTGCAACTGCCATTTTCATTGGTGATTCATCTTGTCTTGCTTTGGGAGAGCAAGAGAGAGAGGATGCCATCTGAGTTAAAAAATAATCATTTGTAATAGTTTCTACTTCATCTATAAAATGAAGAAATATGAAATTTCAAAATATACAGGGTAAAGCAAAAGTGGGTAAACAGTTGTTTGTATGGAAAATAATACAATAATAAATATAATACAAGAACAAACTCTGTGTTTCTCGTACTCGCAACTATAAACCTACTTTTACTCAAACCAGTATATGTATAAATTAAACATGCAATAAAATTGATGATGTCAAGTAGATATAATACTTTGATTTATTAACATTGTGAACAAACAAAGAGGCCACAAACTAAACCTGACAAGCTCGGGGTAGGCTGCATGGTGCACTTTACAAACTCAGAGACCAAAAGGAACCACAAAGAATGGTCTAAATATTAAAATTCCTAGCTAAAAGCAGGTCATAGTGGGTCATTATGTCCTAGACCTGTAGCTTCTTTGACAAATGTCAGTCTTTACCTTAATTGAGCCTGTCTATTGTCTTTTGACATCTTAAATAATGTACCTTTGAAATGTCAGTGTAATCTCCTTTTCTAGACCCCTCAGTTCACACACACCGCACCAAAGTGTGACACCACAAAACCCCTCCTTGTTATCTTGTTCCCGAAAACCATCTCTATATGCTGTAAATGTGAATTATTAGCTATTCTGTATCCACCAATGTAAAAAGGAGTATGTGTTTCTCCATTTTACTCTTTATCCAGTCTCAGAGATTTCTCTCTGCTTTTCTTTCTTCCTAATCTACTACCAATAAATTTCATGTAACCTCCTTTTATTCTAATGTATAAAATAAGCTGTAAAACTGCCATTGTATGGAGCATTTTCTCAATTCATTGAGATTCTGCTTTCTGGCAATTGTTGTCAGTTTGGCTCAAATAAACTCATAAAAATTCTCTACAGTCCGGCTGCTGTGGCTCCGTGGTTGAGCATCAACCCATGCACCAAGAGGTCGCCGATTCAATTCCTGATCAGGACACATGCCCAGGTTGTGGGCCTGATCCCTAGTGGAGGGCATACAGGAGGTAGCCAAATTATGTTCTCTCTCATCCATGTTTCTATCTCTCTCACTCTCCCTTGCTCTCTAAAATCAATAAAGAAAAAAAAGAAAAAAATTATCTACAGGTTTTGGATGTTTCTTACAACAACAACTTTATTCTTTATGTATGAGAGTTAAACTGCTTAGAAGTAATAGTAGATATATATATATATATATTTAAATTTAATTGCAGAACTATTAATCATCTTCAATAAACCAATTAGTACTATTTTACTTTTTCTCCTCATGAGAGATAAGGCCTTATATACTCTTTCATTCAAGTTAACAAACACTAAAATATTCCATCTGTGTTTGAGAGCATATTAAAGTCCACAGATAGAAAATAGACCAACATTTCTTTTCTAGATTAATAATTCCCAACACTATGCCAACCCAATTCAATCCTGCTTAAATTAAAATATATATATAGTTTTAAAAATTTTTAGTAGTTTTAATAAAATTACTCCAGGTGCCTCACTCAGTATGGAAACTGGAAATGAATAAGAAATAATATGAATAAATGTCTAAATTGATCTCATTCTCATAGCCAATAAGGGTTAAGGAAATGAGTGGTAGGTAAAGAAAGACCAGTGAAACCTATTCTTCAAGAAATTTACAATCTAGTAATTGAAATAGACATAAATAACAATGTTGCATAATGAATTATATTTCAAAATAATACCAAGATTTAAAATGGATGACTATTACATTAGAAAACCTTTAAAATGTAGAGAAAAGAGTGATTGCATTCTAATTAGTTCACAGAAATAAAAGATTATTAGATTTTTTTAAGTACTAAAGGAAAAGAAACCTGTATTTTTATTTTATAATGAATTCATGTACAAAAGAAATGTATTCAGAAAAAAATTTACATTAAAATTAAAGTCAAAAGAAGACCTGGTTTAAAATGTAAAACATTCATTTGTAAACAAAAAAAAATGTGGCTGATAAGAAGAACAAAAAATGTGGAGCCAAAATGAATAAATGAACAGTGATTGCCAGCAGTGTTAACAATTCAGAATTGCCTTTCAAAGTATTTCAAATTCTAGAAAAATGAGCCTGCTGATAAAAGAGTTGGAGATTGAGCCCTGGCCAGTTTGCTCAGGGGTCAGAGCATTGGCCTGCGGTCTAGAGAGACCTGGGTTTGGTTCCCACTAAGGGCATGTGCCTCAGTTGTAGTTTATCCCCACCCCTGGTTGGGTCGTATGGGTGGCAACCACTCGATGTGTCCCTTTCATGTAGATGTTTCTCTCTCTCTCTCCCTCCCACCCTATCTGAACAAAATATTGAAAAATGTCCTTGGGTGAGGATAAAAAAAAAAAAGGGAGTTGGAGATTGAAAAATATTGGCTTAAAAGAAGCTATGAAAATAAGTATTTTGTATTGCCTTTTTTTTTTTTTAATCCTCACCCAAGGACATTATTACATTTTTTGTTCAGAGACAGTGGGAAGGAGAGAGAGGAAGAGAGAGAGAAAAACATCAATATGAAAGGGACACATCAAGTGGCTGCCTCCCGCAGGGCCCAACCAGGGCTGGGGACAAACTTCAACTGAGGTATATGCCCTTAGTGGAACCGAACCTGGGTCTCTCCAGACCGCAGGCCGACACTCTAACTGCTGAGCCAAACTGGCCAGGGCTGTATTGCCTTTTAACAAGAAAATATGCAATCAAAAAGTAATGTCTTTACATAAGACCTCGAGGGAAAACAGAGGACAATACAATGTGAGTCAGTCCAAGGGAAAGAGCATCGCTTTAATTGGTATATGGCAGCCAGCATGTGAGTTTCCTGCAGTCTCCAATGGTGAGGAGGAGGATGGCAGGCTAGCTCTCCACTCTCTGGCTCCCTTTCACTTAAAGAACGCCCAGCTCTAGGCCAGAGCAAACACTCAGAGAGGGAAAAATGCAGAGCGAGATTTCTTTCCTTCACTCTGACTACCCTCTTCTTCCCATAATTCCCCTTAGTTTGAAAAGAAACAAAGCAGAGAGGGCCTGGCTGTCACAGCTAGAAGGGGTGACAGTTCTTCATCACTGAAGAACTGCTTAGCTGAGTCTAACTGAGCTTATAAAATTCCTTATTGCATTACAGTGTCTTGAATAATAGAATAGAAGTTTGTCTTGAATAATAGAAGTTTACAAATTTGAATACGAATACAGGTACTTCAAACCTACTGTAAGACTTCTTCAGAAGTTGATGTCTTCTAGAAATGTAAGGAAGTAGCACCATCTGCTGGGTGAGAATGAAAAGAAAATCTGAAGAATTAGTTCTTGAGAAATGTAAAACTGTGGGCACTTTTTAAAAGTATTATTGTTGCCTACATTTTCTTCTAATATCTGTATAGTTTCACAACTTACATTTAAATCTTTTACCCATTTTGAGTTTGTTCTTGTGTGTGGTGTAAGTTAGTTGTCTCATTTCTGTTTTGCATGTACCTGTCCAATTTTCCCAACACCATTTATTGAAGACACAGACTTTACTCCATTGTGTGCTCTTGCCTCCTTTGTCAAGTATTAATTGACCATACATAATGTCTTGGTTCAATTTCTGGGTTCTCTGTTCTGTTCCAGTGATCCACATGCCTGTTCTTGTGTCAGTAACAGGCTATTTTATTACAATGGCTTTGTAGTATCATCTGAAGTCCAGAATTGTGATCCCTCCAACTCTGTTCTTCTTTTTCAAGATTGCTATGGATAGTCGAGGTTTTTTGGGTTCCTTATAAACTTTTAGAGTATTTGTTCTAGTTCTATGAAATATGGCATTGGTATTTTAATAGGGATTGCATTGAATCTGTAGATTGCTTTGGGTAGTATGGACATTGTCATGACGTTGAGTTTTCCAATCCATGGTATATACTTCCACTTTTTTATATCTTCCTCTATTTCTTTTTCCTATGTTTTGTAGTTTTCTGAAAACAGGTCTTTGCCTTCTTGGTTAAGTTTATTCCTTGGTATCTTAAATTTTTGTTGCAGTGGTAAATGAGATTTGTTTTAGTTTCTTTTTCTGGGTGTTCATTATTGGTGTATACAAATACCATTGATTTTAGGCAGCTGAATCTCTGACATCTCATGTAGCAGAATTTTCACCAATACATTGCCTAGGGCCAGAGAAACAAAGAAAAAAATAAACAAATGGAACTACATCAAACTAAAAAGCTGCTGCACAGCAAAAGAAATCAACATCAAAATGAAAAGGGAACCCACTGTATGAGAGAACATAATTGCCAATCATGTATTGGATAAGAGGTTAATTTCCAAAATATATAAAGTACTCATACAACTCAACAAAAGAAAGATAAACAATCCAATTAAAAAGTGGGCAGAGGACTTGAATAAATACTTCTCCAAAGAGGGCATATAAACGGCCAAGAGACATATGAAAAAAATGCTCAATATCACTAATCATCCTAGAGATGCAAATTAAAATAACTATGAGGTGTTACCTCACACCTGCCAGGACGGCAACCATTAGCAAACCATCAAACATCTAGTGCTGACAAAGATGTGGAGAAAAGGGGGCTCTAGTACACTGCTGGTAAGAATGCAGACTGGCGCAGCCACTATGAAAAACAGTATGGTGTTTCCTCAAAAAATTAAAAATTGAATTGCCATTTGACCCAGTAATCTCACTTCTAGTAATATACCCTAAGAAGCATGAAACACCAATCAGAAAAAATATATGCACCCCTATGTTCATAGCAATGCTACTTACAACAGCTAAGATCTGGAAACAGCTCAAATGTCTACCAGCAGATCAGTGGATATAAAAACTGTGGTACAGCCCTGTCTAGTTTAGCTCAGTGGTTAGAGCATCGACCTGCAGTCCAGAGAGACCCGGGTTCAGTTCCCGCTAAGGGCACATACCTTGGCTGCAGTTTGTCCCCAGCCTTGGTTGGATTGTGTGGGTGGCAGCTACTCAATGTGTCCTTTTCACATCGATGTTTCTCTCTTTCTCTCTCTTTCTTTCTCTC